GGGCAGATAGATAGATAGATAGATAGATGAATAGATAGATAGGTAGATAGATAGATAGATAGATAGATAGATAGATAGATAGATAAAGAGGAAATTGTCTAAGACGGCCACCCATTGTCTGGACAAAAGTGGACGTCTCAGACATGTGGCAGTCTTAGGCAGAACTAATCAAACTAAAGAAAGTAAATACAAGTTAATTAAAAAAGAACGAACCAATTTCGTGATAAATTGCTTCAGTTCTCAAGCAACGTTATGGAATGAGTCGGTGTCCATTTGAAAGATCAGGAGTTTTTGAACTTTTGAAATCTGTCCCAGGGGGTGTTGTTGTTACGTGGTTCTTCCTTTGAAGGAAATGCCATTACAGGCCGAACCTATCTTGATATGCTCCGAAACTGGCTCTTCCTATCACTGCAAACAGATGAGCATGACTTCACTTTTCAACAAGATACACCATCACCACTATGGCATCTGATGGTTCGATTTGTTTTAAAGGAAAACGTGCATCTGCGATGGATTGGGCGGAAAGGGGCACAAGACCCAGCTTTCTGTGCTTGGCCTGCCAGATCCCCAGACCTCATCGTATGTGATTTTTTCTTCCGGGGATATGTAAATGATTGCATTAATTGTTTTCTATCCACTTATCTCGATGCCTTTAAACATCAAATAACAACGGCGATCAATCCAGCAGACCGTGATAAAATGTTGAAACGCGTCATGGATGATTTCTTTATTGCACTGATGTTGCCCGTGCTGTTGATGGTGGGTATATTGAACACTTGAAAAGACAGGAAATAAAAGTTGATTTTGCGTTCAAATCTTGTGATTTAGCTTGAGTTTTCTATTGCTTTTCCATATTAAACTATTGCGTAATGAATTCGGGTCGACTTGAGTAAACAATGGGAGGGGAAAGAAACCTTGCCTTCGCAAAGTTCAGGTCAGCGATTGCTTGATTCATAACACAGGCAAACAATAACGATCTTTGAATGGATTATGACGGCTCATCCAAAGCGTCAACGGCTAATAAATAAAGAATGACAACGCGTTGGGCAATGGGAGATTGGAGCGGCCTTCTTGGGCAGGCTTTTTTGGCTGCTGTTTGATGAAATATGGGGCCACCGCCGAGTTGGACAGCTTATCGTTATAAGCGGTGCCATTATATAGAACAAAAGCACAAGGGCTGAATGGAATATGGCAGCTTGAACAGGTTGTTGTCTCGTACAAGTAGATAGATAGATAGATAGATAGATAGATAGATAGATAGATAGATAGATAGATAGATAGATAGATAGATAGATAGATATATAGATAGATCGATTAGATAGATAGATAGATAGATAGATAGATAGATAGATAGATAGATATATAGATAGTTAGATAGATAGATAGAAAGATAGATAGATAGATAGATAGATAGATAGATAGATAGATAG